CCCGCAAAGGGCGTCTCGCAACCAAGGATGGGTCCAAGTTGAAAACCCGGAAAGGGCGATTGGATATTAACGGTGGAAACATCCCGGCACATGAATCTTCCACGAACTCAACAAATCGGAGAATGTTGCACCCTCCCAAACGTTGTCGCATTTTCAAAGATCCTTTGGCAAAGGCTGCATTCAAAGTCACCAAACGGCTTTTCAACTCAGAAGTGCCCACATTATCGAGGTCTAAGACATTCATTTACACATCATTGTATTCGTTTCTAGAATGTTTGCCATGTATTATTTGTTCTTCTCCTCCCTTATGAATTTGCCATGTATTATTTGTTCTTCTCCTCCCTTATGAATAAAGACCATTTCCTCCATACCTTTTGAGCATCTTGAATTAGATTTAAACCTAATGGTTTATTTATTTTTATGAGAAAAATCACATATTGTTGTACAAGATTCATTGAAGTACAGGTACTCAGAAGCCGATCAAGGCTCATGCACATGCTTGAGATGGTTGAGGGGCATCTTTTAAAAAAAAAAAAATCATCAAACATTGAAGAATTTAAGATCAGAGATCGGAACTTCAAGCTCAGAGTCAACAACGACAGGCCACCGGAGATCGAGATTACTCTCCAGAGCTCAGAATACATATGTTGCATATCATTTTAGGCATACCTAAGAGCATGAAATCCATAACATCACATATATGCATATCTTTGCAGGTTTTACCCAGACCAATTTCAACTTCACAACGAAGGATATTGGACTCCAGACAACGCAAGTTCAACTTCACGACGAAGGGACCGCTGGTTGTCAACGAACATTTCTCAATTTCAGAGCCAATTCAACTTCACAACGAAGATATTGGACTCCAGACAACGCAAGTTCAACTTCACGACGAAGGGACCGCTGGTTGTCAACAAACGTTTCTCAATTTCAGAGCCAATTTCAACTTCACAACGAAGGATATTGGACTCCAGACAACGCAAGTTCAACTTCACGAGAAGGGACCGCTGGTTGTCAACAAACATTTCTCAATTTCAGCCAGTTGCAACTTCAACGAAGGATATTGGACTCCAGACAACGCAAGTTCAACTTCACGACGAAGGGACCGCTGGTTTGTCAACAAACATTTCTCAATTTCAGAGCCAATTTCAACTTCACAACGAAGGATATTGGACTCCAGACAACGCAAGTTCAACTTCACGACGAAGGGACCGCTGGTTGTCAACAAACATTTCTCAATTTCAGAGCCATTCAACTTCACAACGAAGGATATTGGACTCGACAACGCAAGTTCAACTTCACGACGAAGGACCGCTGGTTGTCAATAACATTACCCAATTTCAGCTTCACAACGAAGTATCTTGGCTAGAAGACGATCCATGAGCTACCTCCAGAACTCTGAGTTCGATTTCAATTTCACGAGTTCGATTTCAATTTCACGACGAAGGATTCAGGCTCAGAATCTTCCAGTTTTAACACCTCACGACGAGGGAGTCATCGGTTTTTAAAAACCATCTCAACATCGAATTTCAACTACGACAGAGGATATTCGATGGACGAAATTATGTCTTTAATCTTTGCTCTATTTTCGTTACACGACAATGAGCAAAGAGGGCAGCTGAATACACTAAATTTCGTCCTTATATATTATATTATAATTATATATATTTATTACATTTTCTTTTCTTTTCAGGGCCCAACAGCACCAGGCCCAAACCACGTCAAACCCGTGTAGACTTAGGGTTTCCAAAACCCTAAGCGCCGCATGCCCTCCCTCGATCTCATCCAGCGCCGTCTGCTCAAGGATACCATGACCAAATTCCTTGATCCACAGCCCCCACGAGTCTTCGCCATACACGCCTCTATCCCCCGTGCTTCTCGCAACAAGCCAAGATCGTGGACGTGTGGGACTCCAACCAACACGCTTCAACCCACCGAACCATCCGGCGCGAGTTCGGTCATCACCAACAAACACATAACATTAGTTCATAGGAGTTAAACTCTTAAAAAATAGAGCCCTATATGTACTATAAATAAATGTGGAAATCAACACAGAATGGTAGGGGGATTTATAGAGAAATACAGAGGATAGGCACAGGAATACAACGCAAACAAATCGACCAAAAGGCTAAAGTATTTGTACTCGTGAAACGATAAATAAAAGAGAAGGTATTTTTTTTTTTACCTTCGTTTTTAGGTTGGCTTTCGTTGCATGCTTGATGTTTTCATTTCATTTGAAACCAAGAAAACACCTTCAAGGAGGCCGGCCGATGAACTCGGAAGGTTCGGGGTTTTAAAACCCAGATCTATTCTCCTTTGAGGCCATTTTGCAAAAACAATGTTTTTTTGAAGAGGGAATTCAAAAGCTTTTGGAAAAGTAAATTTTTGGGTTTGCCGCCGATGACTGCAGCCGGCGCCAATCAGAGGCGGTCGGTAGGCGGTGCCATCGGATTTCTGGTGTGGGGCGACTGTGTTCTTCATTATGAAGAACACAGATGAAACCAGAGAAGAAGAGATGGGGTTGCTCTCGGGCGAGAGAAGAAGAGAAAATGAAATTAAAAAGCATTTGATCCGTTTATATCAGATCCGCGTTTGCAATAAATTAGGGTAAACTACCCTTTTGGTCCCTCGTAGCTTTTAAAGAGTTATTTTGACCCCGAATTTGCTTTTGAATTGGTCTCTAATTCTGATTTTCTTTCACTTAGCCACTTAACTTGTTTTTTTGATTCAATTTAATACTAACCTTTTTTTATTTATCCCATATCATGTAATTATATATATATATGTACGTTTTCTATATTCATCTATACTTAGTGTTAATACATATATATATTTTAATAACCTTTTTTATCTAGCTACTACATCTTATAATTTATACATTATTTATGTATTTTTTTATTATTTACCAATCTTACTCATTATTATAATTATATTTCTATTAATATTTTTTTTCTTTTGGTATTTACATATGTATATACATATATTATATATATCTTTACCTATTATGATATTTTCCTTTTTAATACTTTAATATATATATTTCTTGTTTCATTCATTAATTATTTATTCCATTTTTATTTTATTTATTTCCCCTTTTACTTTTTACTATTATTATTATTTATTTATTTATGCTATCATATTATTTTATTATTTATACGTATATGTATTACTCATTTTTTACTCTTTATTTCTATATATTTTATGTATTTTTATATTCTACATATATATATTTTTATTTATATTTTGATCATTATTATTTCATTACTATTTTACTATTATAATTGTTATTTTTTATATGTATATTACGCATGTTTTTTTTTCTTTCTTTTTTCATTTTCATTGCTTTATATTTATTTTATATGTGTATTTTTTATCCATTTATATTTTATTATATTTTCTTCTTTTTCTTTATTTGTATTTTCGTTTTGTTCGCCCTATTTTTCTATTTTATTACTTCCATTACCTAACCCTTTCCTTGGCTTTTTGAGAGAACTTCAAACATCAGTGGTAAGCATTTGGATCAACATTTTACCTTTAATTTAACTTTCAATTTCTTAATTAAAGACAACTGGAAATTACACAGTACCGAAAGGGCAGTTCAAGGGTGCTAACCCTTCCTTGACTTACCGACTCCCGAATCCGACACATCTCTGGTAAGACGCAGCAGGTAAGAAATAGGGTATCCGATCAACCCATTTATTTTTAAATAAATGATCGGTGGCGACTCCAATCCACATTTTTCAAGTCGTAGCCCAATTCCGGGGCCCAACCGAAAGACGGTTCCGACACATACAAATCACCATGTGCTCTCCGCCTTGAATTACTTTTCCTTTGAAACAAATCTGTAATACGCAGCTGCTTCTTTTCACTTTCAAGATTCAACGATCCACCTGGATTATGAAGACCAAAAACTCAGCGGCGCCGGTGGCGGTGGTGCTGGTGGCCCTTATCGTCGTGTTTTTGTTGATATTTGAGATCAATCTGTCGTCCGTTTTTAGACTGACCGGGAGCAGACAAGGTAAGGCCTTTTAATCAAGCCTTTATTTATTTTCTCCTTCAATTCTTCTTCTTTCTTTTCAAAGGACATCTTCGTCTGCTTGGTTCATCTTTAAAATTTAAAATCTACTTATTATTCTTTGTTTTTATTGAAATGATATTTGATTTATAACTTTCAGATTCATAAGTGAATTGAAACTTTGATTCAAATATCTTTTTAGACTTTTGATTTACATGAAAAAACATTTAATTCGAATTTAAACTTAATTTAAATATAAATAAATTAAATTAAATTTGAGTAAAAAAATTGATAATCGAGCTTGAATTTTAGTAACTTGATCTCTCAAGCCTTACTTGAACAAGCAAAGTATCGAAGTACAAAAAACTATTCCAGCTCAAGCTTATACTATAATTTACAAGTCCTCTTTGTAAATCTGCAAAAAACTATTCCAGCTCAAGCTTATACTATAATTTACAAGTCCTCTTTGTAAATCTGTAATTGAAAGTACATCCCATACTTTACATTTTTTCTTCTTTGCGTATAAACTGTTTGATTAAATATTCAATTAATCTCTAAACAAAAAACTTATTATCAATATAAACACATCAAGCGGTCTCAATGATAAAATAGAATATTACTCTTTTTAGAGATTTTGGGTTTAAATAATTATGTTTGTATGGTGTATATACGTTATTAATTAATTAAAAAAGTTTTGAATAAATATTACTTTATTATCATCCAAAATTATTTTTTAAAAAAACTTATTATTAATATTAAAGGGGCTAAAGTAGAAAGAGAGGTGCAAGTATGGCATATATAAGAGTGGAACAAGAGACGTTAAAATATATTGTAAATTTTAAATGTTATATAATTTAAATGATTTGTATTAATAATTTAATAAATTTTAAAAACTCATATATTAACCTTAAATTTTACTATGTGTATATTTCATCAAATGTAGTATTAGTAACATAACTGTTGCTTTTGTGGATTCTCATACATCATGAATAAACGTGGAATAAAGTTAGAAATATGTAGACAAAATGAATATTCGTTTCTTTTACTTTTGCAAGGTCAAATATGGAGGCGGACTTTTGGAGAAGAACATGTTGAAACGAAACCAGTGATCAGCTGCGACCGTTCTCATAAAGAATATGATCTGTGCTCTATCAACGGCGCAACCGTGGTGAACCCCGTCACCTCCACGTTCTTTCTCATGGGCCCCACCGTATATGGTTCAGGTTCCATTGTAGAGAAAATCAAGCCGTTTCCAAGGAAATGGGAGAGTTTTCCAATGAAAAGAATCAAAGAGGTAAGCATCACTTCAGCCCCATCAGCCACAAAATGTGAGGTCCGACATAACTCCCCGGCCATCGTATTCGCTGCGGGAGGGTACACGGGAAACGTTTTCCATGATTTCAATGATGGGTTCATCCCACTCTTCATCACCATCCGTTCCCTCTATAAAAACCAAGACGTCATCCTTGTGGTCTCCAAGGCTCGTGATTGGTGGATAAACAGGTACAAGAATTTGCTCCGTGTACTCACCTCACACCCGATAGTAAACCTCGACAATGATACTTCCACTCACTGTTTCCCTTCCGCCACTCTAGGCCTCATATCATATGGTTTTATGACACTAATGCCAAACCCCTCACAAACATTGCTTCAATTCCGTGCCCTCCTAGACAAGGCATTTAGTCACCACGTATACTCCACCTTAAACCTTCCTCCAAAACACGACTCTCGACCTCGGCTCGTGTTTTTAAGCCGACCAAGAGGCATCGGACGTGAAATTTTGAATCAAGGCGAAGTAATCCAGATAACAAAAGAGATTGGATTTGACGTTGTTTTGTTTCAACCGACGGGTATGACTTCCTTACAACAAATTTTCGTATTATTAAATTCAAGTCATGCGATGATTGGTATTCACGGAGCGGCGTTGATGCACTCATTGTTTCTCCGGCCGGGGTCGGTGTTCATGCAAGTGATGCCGTTAGGGACTAATTGGGTGGGGAAGATGTGCTATGGTGAACCGGCTAGGGCAATGGGGATAGATTACATTGAATATAAGATAAATGTAGAAGAGAGTAGCTTGGTGGAGAAGTATGACAAGGATGACATTGTGATTAAAGATCCAGGTAGTTTTCAAAGGGGAAATTGGTCGTCCGATGTTATGAGTATATATTTGAAGGAGCAAAACGTTAAACTCGATTTGGTTAGGTTTAGGGAATATTTAAATGAAATTTATAGAAAAGCAAAGGTATTTATGGACAAAATGGGATAGTGCTAAACTATTATATCCTGATATTTATTTTAATAATTAGAAATATTTTGATGAAAATATTCGAATGAAATTTAGAATTATTTTACAATATAGATTTTTGTAATTTGTAATTCTTTTTATTCATCAATTAAATCAACTTAAAGTTTCTTAAAGGAATCGATGACGTCTTGGATCAGCCAATCTTCGATGCGTACTCTGTCAAGAGGTGGGAAGTTGGTGCTTATTAAAGCTGTGCTATAGTCTCTTCCAACGTATTAAATGAGTTTGTATGCTCTCCCCGTCTCGCTTTATCGTGAGCTGAATTCTTCCATAGCAAGGTTCTGGTGGCGTCTTGATGCATCCGTGCAGGCAATCCACTGGATTGGTATTTCAAATATGCGACTTCCGAAATCAATCGGAGGTTTAGGTATCTGGGATTTGGAAATTTTCAATCAAGCTTTTATGTGTAAACAAGGGTGGAGATTATTTAATGGCTCCAATAGTTTGGTGGCTCAAATGCTCAAAGACAATTATTATCCGGATGGGTCTTTCCTCACTGCTGACTTAGGTGCGTAATCGTCGTTCGCCTGGCGGAGCATTTGGTCGGTCGGTGAAAGGGGTGATTAAGCAATGCCTTCGAGTTCATGTGGGAGATGACACTACTATTCCGATATTCTTGGAGCTTATTTTAATTTCCAAGAGATTTTCTATAATGAGGGAGCTATTAGCAACATATATGGTATATGAGTACTAGATCACCATTATGTTGGGGTTTCAAAATATTTTTAATGGATTGTTTATTTATTTTATTATATATCAGTTAATGGTTTTAAAAAAAATCTTCTTTTCATATATGAAATTAAATTTATAATAATTGTTCTGGATTGGCTATGGATTTTAAATATATTATTTAGAAAAATAAAATATAATTTATATACAAATCAAGTGTAAATTTTAAATTGACCTGGATAAATGCCCCAATCAAACCCTATAAATACATTATTTAAGGTTAAAATAACTTTAATTTTTAAATGCTTTTCCCCACAAGCGAAATTAAATTTACTTTTACACAAGGACCAACAACTTTAATTAAATAATTTTACAAATAAAATAAATACTTAAAGAATAATTGTAGTACTTAAACTGAAACACTATTAAAATCATTTAAATAATTTCTATAATTTTTTAGAAAAAATAGTTTGCTTTGATGGAAACAAGAATAATACATAAATAGGAACAAAGTACAATAAACAAGAACGGATTACAAACTACTGCACCAATATTTTTGTTAAAAAAAAGCACAACAAAAGAGTAAATCTTGACTTAATAATTAATATGTGAAGACAGCTATGGAAATAATGAATTAAATAATAAAATTTATGTGGATGATCATGACTTAATAACAAAGAGTAGGTCCACGCTTCATAATATCCACATAACGGCATAAAATAATCTATCTTCTCCTTTTCAAAGTCAAGAGAGTCAATGTTATATCCACTGCACAACAAATAATGCATATATCATCACTTTATTTCTTGCCTACACAGCTTTCATTCATACTTACTAACAATGGAGAAAGGCCACAAACCAAGCAAATCCGAGCTCCTCTCTAGCGCTAAGTTGGTGGCCAACGCGGCGAAATCCGCTCTAAACCACGAAAGCGACAAGGTCGACAAGGGGAAGGTCGCAGGTGCTGCTGCTGATCTTTTGGATGCGGCACAAGACTATGGCAAGCTCGATAAGAATACGGGCATCGGCCAATATGTTGAGAAGGCAGAGAGTTACCTGCACAAGTACGAGACTTCCCATCAATCGGCCCCGGCCGCCAAGCCGGAGTCACATGCTACCGGTGACGGTGAAAAAGGGAAAGAGTCTGCTGGAGGTGTTGGGGATTACATGAAGATGGCTCAAGGTTTCTTCGGAAAATAAAATTATACTACTTTTTTTATGTTTTTGTGCTGCATAATATACTTTATTTTTCATGTTTATTTGTCTTCATGTTGGATGTCCATGATATGTGCATGATTGATCGCTTTATTATACAGGACTATTATGCACGTGTATGTGTTATATGCAGTATTAATCCTGATATGTGCATGATTTATCACTTATATTTTTAAATTAAGATTAATTATATGATTGTTTATTTATATTTGTGTTTTGTCTAATTTTTTAATTAGTTTTAAAAAATATAGTATATGATAATTTTCATTTTTATTTAATTAAAATATGTTCACTTACGTTTTTATTTTATTAAAATTTGGTCACTACGGGTTAACTGCCGTCAACCGTTAATAGATTAGGTGATGGGTATTTAAGTATAATCACATAATTTGTCCATATTATTTACATATTATCTCAATTTAGTATTACTTTTAATAAATAAAATAAAGCAAACAAAGCAAGTAAATTAGGGCTAAATGAATTCAAACATGGATCTTTTAGGTCACTAATCATGTATCCAACCATTAAGGCAAGACCAATACTTGATTTGTAATAGACAACAAGATGTATATATTTTGTATCTTTTTTCATAAATACTTAACTAACTTAAATTCATAATGTTATATATATTAACTTAAGAAATATTTTTTATATTAGCTAATTAAATATATTTTATTATTAATTTAATTTAAAAATGTTTTATTTTTATTTAATTTTATTCTTGTCTAAACTTTAAAAAATATATTTATTATTATTTTAACTTTTCAAAGTATATATTCTATCTTAATTTACTAAATATATTATATTTTTACTATAACTTATTAAATATATTTTATTTTTATTTTAACTTCAAAATATTTTATTATAATATATATATATATATATATTTAAATAAAAATAAAATTTTTTAAATTAATTTAATAATAAAATATATTTAATAATTTAGTATAAAAATTATTTTTTTTAAATTAATATATAAAAAACAATATGAATTTAAGTTATACATTAAGATACAAATAGGAAAACCACACAAATGGTCAATTTCATTGAGTTTTATAAATTTATGGTCATTGGATTAATAAAATATGATGTATGGTCACTTTCGTTTTGTTTTAATTAAGATGTGATCACTGGGACGTTAGCTGCAGTGAGTTGGATGACATGGTGCATTAGTAAAAATTTTAATTTTTATTTGAACCCTTAAACTTTAGATAAATTACTAATCATGAGTCTTTTGGTAAACTCAAAATAATTCAAAATAAAATATCAATTTTCCCTTTTTTCCATATGTTTTCTTCCATAAACTTATCTAAAATCCAAAATCAACAACATCAAAGATTCTTAAGCCCCGCTTGGCTTGACTTTTTAAACGCAATTTTAGCTAAAAAAAAATCCGTTTTAATCGCAAAAATCGATGTCAAACAGGTAAAAAATGAAAAAAAAAATTACAGTGAAAACAATGATTTCAAACTAACCGTAAAAGCTAGGATTTGTAACTTTTTCATTTTCAACTTTGCATTTGTGAGCAAATTATAATTTTACTCTTATTAGTGCATGAACTCCACTCAATTATGTATTTACATTATATTTCAATATTAACATCCTCAAAAAATAATTTATTACTTAATATTTTATTTTAATTATTTAACAATAAATAATATTCATGGTTTATATATTAAAATATTAATAGTCATTTATTATAAAAAAATATTTTTATTAGGATTAATGAGTTATCTTAAAATATTTTTATATTTTTATTATAGTTTAAGTGATATATTTTATATATTATAGTATTAATAAATGTAAATATAATTTAAATTTTAAATTTTTAATTTATAATATAATGTCTATAATGAACATTTTATCTTTTTAAATTCAATTTTTAACAACTTTTGAAAATTAACTTTTAAAAATGTGATAATTTAAAAAAAATACTATTTAGAAGTATAATTTAAAAGAGAAAATCGCCTCAGTGACAAAAAATGCCTTATCGCAATGCGATCGCTAATTCGCAACGCGATCTCCATTATCGCAAATTCGCCAAAATGACCAACAAAATCGCAATGCGATCGCTAATTCGCAACGCGATCTCCATTATCGCAAATTCGCGTTGCGATAGTTGGAAATCGCGTTGCGATGGTCTACAGTGTCGTTGCGATTTTCCCAATTCGCAATGCGAATAAGTAAATCGCAACGCGAATTGGGAAAATCGCAATGCGATACTGACTATCGCAATGCGATACTTACTATCGCAATGCGATAATACAAAATCGCAACGAGATACTGACTTTCGCAACGCGATTCTGACTTTCGCAATGCGATTTACATAGCGCCATTCGTATTAACGCGTATTTTTTTTTCAAATTCCAAACACGAATTTTTTCTTAATAAATCGGAAACTGAACCGTCCACAGTAATCGCAACTCATAACCTCAAACCCAAAATCACAACACTCAGTCCCATCTCCATCTCTCACTCTCTACGGTGAAATCCGTCCCCATCTCCGAAGATTTCCGTCCCCATCGCCGGCGAAATCCCTCACAACCATTCAGAAATGGAAAATCAACCTCCGAGGGTTAGTTTTTTTTTTATTTTTATTTTGAAATTTTTGCATTATTTTAGGTTTTTCATATTGAGATGATGATAAGTTTACTGGTAATTTGGAAATAACTATTGCACGAGAGAATCGCAACGCGAAATAAAAAACGCAACGCGAAACCAAAATCGCATTGCGATTTCATTTCGCGTTGCGATTCTCTCGTTGCGATTTTCATTTCGCGTTGCGATTTTCATTTCGCGTTGCGATTCTCTCGTTGCGATAGTCATTTCGCGTTGCGATTCTCATTATCATTTCAACCAAAAGACAAACAGTGTTGCAAATTTTAGTTTCAAGAATAACTACTATTTATGTTTATTGTTTTTGGTATATCTTGACAGTGTAGTTTTTGGTATATCTAACTTGGTATGTTTATTGTTTTTGTAGAAATTTTTTTCGGCTTCATTGACATTAAGGAATAAAGTTAGCCTAGCCACTACAATTGCTTCGAAGCTTTCACCTGCACAAAGAAAATTGTTTGAGGAAACCTGCTTCGGGCCATGGCTGAGAGTACAGCATCCGGGTGAGATGCTAATTTGACCCATTTTGGCTTCAGACCATGACTAGAGATATCCGTCAGTATACAACGTGGTGAGGAAGAGATATGGTTTCATTTTCCACCGGCGTATACTTGTTTTGGGCGGAAGGAGTTCTGCTTAATCACTGGTCTACGATTCGGACACGATGATAGGCCGGTACACTCGTCATATCACCCGCCCATCATGGTTACCAGGGTTTTTCCTGATGAGTCCAATAGAGAAGCCGAACTTACACGTCGACGACATGAAGAAATTGTTTAATAAGAAGATGGTTTTCCTCGGATGAATGACGTCGATGTTGTCGAGTATGCCTTCTACTACTTTTGTATGCCGGCTTTTAGGCAGAGAGGCCAGACAACCTATTCCTCAGGAGCTAATATATTGGTAGATGACCTAATGCTGGAATCTGTTCCGTGGGGTTCGTATATGGAAAGCTACCTGGACTAAGTTGTCATCTGCCTTTGATGACCGTAAAAGTTTACGGGGCGATGGTCGAAATACACTTTGTCAGGCTTTGTTGGGCCTTAAGGTAAGAATTTCTATATAATGTTTTCAAAATTATAATTAATTATTTTAACAATTACTAATGTTTGTTATATATTGTTTGTAGATTTGGATATTCGAGGCCTTTCCCGCCATGAAGACATATGCAAAACTTCAAATGAATTCCCCACGGCTATTTCCTGGAAGAGGAAACGTTTGTTGGATTGGGAAGACTTAATACCATATGCGACAATAAATAATGTAAGTTAACACAATAATATCATATATAACAAGTTATTAATAGTAGACGTTTAACTTTGTTTGAGTTTTTATATTTTTAGGAGGCCAACATTCCATTAATGAGACTGACACCCACGGAGGCATAGCTTGCCACTGATTGGTGGCAAGCTAGTCAACATTTTTCTTGATGGCACGAATGAGCAGCCTCCACTTCCCCACTTCGAGAGCCATCACCTCACCCAGCCATCACCTGATCGACCCGACTATACACCTCTACAACGAGAGCATCACCTATCCCGTCACATCATCGAGCCTCTTCTCCACCATCACCTCATGATAGGCGACCGGCAAAGATGCCACGACTTCTATCTCCCTGTTCTCCACCTCCACGGGATGAGTCAAGGGAGTTACGTGATGAGTCAATGCCTTGCGTGAGGGATCGGTACTCTACGCGATAACGATGGTGCATGGCGTGTGGAGGTCAATGCCTTGCGTTGAGATCGGTACTCTACGCGATAACGATGGTGCCATGGCGTATGAGGTGTCTACTTTACGTGTGAGGTTGCCGCTCTAAGTGAGATGGTAGTATTGTTAGATTTTCCATATTTAACTTGATGATAATTTACTCGTAAATTTCACTTAAATTAACCATTTCACTTAGATTGCTTAGTAAATTTATTCGGTTGCTGCCAATACTGCTAAACTGTTTATTAACACTGTGAAGTAGTATTTGTCTTTTTTGTTTTGTCTTTTGGTTGAAGTAAATTTTATTCGATTGCTGCCAATTCTGCTAAACTGTGTATTCTTTAACACTGTGAAGTTAGTATTTGTCTTTGTTTTGTCTTTTGGTTAAAGTTTTGAAATATATTTGTCTTTGTTTTCACTGTTTAAATATCATGTCCGTTTATTTACTGATATTTGTATTTAATTATTAGCGGACCGATAAGGTGGATGCTTTTACGTCGGGTTTTTCTTGCACGACAGAGTTCACGCATCAGACGGCGTGCACGTGCTATTAAGTCTCCGTATACCCCAATAGTGCGAAGACACCGCAAGAAAAGCCCGACTCGCCTGTCATCCCTCAAGAGTCACTCCTATCGTTGAAGAGGCCCCTATCATTCCTCGAGAGTCCCCTCCCACGTTCAAGAGGCCACTGTCATCCCTCAAGAGTCCACTCCTATCATTGAAGAGGCCCCTATCATTCCTCGAGAGTTTCCTCCCACCGTTCAAGAGGCCACTGTCATCGTTGAAGAGG